AGTATCTCCCACTCACCAACCGTCTCTGCTTGCGTCTCCCGCTCCCAACTCACTAGGGGGGGGGGGGGGGTGCCGGCCGTCTCAGTTAGCGTCTCCCATCCACCAGGGGTGATGCAGCCGTCACTGCTTACGTCTCCCACCCATCAGGAGCGATCCGGCCGTCTCGGTTAGTGTCGCCCACTCACCAGGAGCGATCCGGCCGTCTCGGTTAGTGTCGCCCACCCATCAGGAGCGATCCGGCAGTCTCAGCTAGTGTCTCCTATAACTCACCAGTCGGTCCCCGGCCGTCTCAGTTAGCGTCTCTCACTCACCAGGAGCGATCCGGCGAACCACTTTGTGCTGTTGGAGTACAGGCAGATGACGTGCTCTCCGGGTGTGTGCGACGTGAACGTAAACGTGCCCTCGGCCGAGTATACCTGAAACGGAGCACCAATCAGAGTGATCACACCACCAATCACACGGGACGGCACACGGCCAATACTCAGCCCCACCCACCGAACACTACACTGATTGGCGACACCGCACGCGGCGGCGATTGCGAGTTGCGACAGAGCCATCACCAGCGTCGCGGGGCGCGCCGGCCGGCCCGACGGCGAGTACGCGCACGACACCCACTGACCGCTGAAAGGATCGGCTTGTCCTCCGGGTCCCGCACGTCCACGTGCATGCCGATACCCTGGTTGGTCTGCATGAAGCCGCCGGTGCGCGGGTCGAACAGCTGCGTCTTGTACTTTCCTGTGCGGAGAATGACGGGAGTCAGTTCACCAGGGCAGCAGGCTATCAGCCCCAGTTGGAACTTTTACCAAAGTCTACCACTTATTTGAATCACTATGGTCACTGAAAAATCACCCTAATTATGCAAAAATATTTAATGCCTTTATTGCACTTTTGGGTAATGGTGGGGCAGGCATTGCTTAAAACTCTCTGTTGTATGCATGCAAGGTTGCTGTAGGTTTTGTTGGGGATCGCATGCCTCCTATCATTCATATGAGCTTACTCGCATTGCTTGAACATGTTAATGAATCAGTGGTAACTTAAGTCTTTTTACGAGCGAGCGAGCGCAGCGAGCGAAGCGAAGTCTTTTCAATATAACGGAAAAATCTCAGTATGAGCGGCCCGGCCCGGCCCGGCCCGGCCCGGCCCGGCCCGGCCCGGCCCGGCCTGTAACGCTTTTGAGAGGCTTATATCTCAGCAACCGCTGGACCGATTGGCCTGCGGTCTTTTTTGCTGGGTAGCCCCATCCCTTCTACCCCGTAACTGACTACTTTTGATACATCTCAGTGACCGCCGTGGCACGTGCCACGTGAAAAGTCAAGGGTGTTCAAGCAGTTTTGCAAAAGTAATGATTTTGAGAGGCCCATATCTCAGCAGCGGCTTGAGCGATTGTCTTGCGGTCATTTTTATAGGGTAGCTGCATCCCTTCTACCAAAGGTCGGATACTCTTCATCTATGTGAGTGACCCCCACTGCACGTGCAAAATACAACAATAAGAGGTGCCAAATTTGTTCCCATTTCAGTAACTCGGTAATTACTGGGGCGATTTCGCTGAAACTTGGCATACAGGTAGGCACCCACCAGGCAATGCATTCCCATGTGTTGCGGTTAGGGTGCTACTGCACGTGCGCACGTGCAGGGGGCGTTTCCAGATCTCGAGAACGGCTGGGCCGATTGCGCTCAAATTTGGTACACGGATGGGGACCGGTTAGAAGGGTGCCGTGCAAAAGTCATTTTGGATCCCGTTTGCACGTGCGCACGTGCAGAATGCCGCTTCCAGATCTCAGGAACGGCACGGCCGATTGCGTTCAAATTTGGCACACCGCTAGCGACCGGTTAGAAGGGTGCTTTGCACAAGCCCGTTGGAAGTACCCTCTCGCCCTTCTGCACGTGCAGGGCTCACTATCTCGCTCGCTCGTTCTTCGCCCAAAAGGCGTTTTACTGGTAAGTAGGTTGTTTTCAGTTTTCACAAACATTCCACCAAACATTTTTTTTCCAAACTGACTAGTCCCAACCAAACCTGACCAGACCTTACCTTACCTTACTGTTGGCAGGGCTTTGGGAGGCCAGAGGCCTCTTGGACCTTCTTATCGAGCTCTTTGAATATCAGTTATTGCTCTAGACCTAACATGATTTACCCCGCGTTCGATGTCTCCCGGACGACGAAGATTCTATGCCGTCCGGGCCCAAAAGGCCGTTCGATGTCGCACGGACGGCAAAGATTCTACGTGACGTCACGTAGAATCTTTGCCGTCCGCGCAGAATCTTTTGAGCGTACTACGCTGGGCAGAGAGGCAAAGATGGCGCGTATTTCAAAAGCGGCGCAGCAGCTGTTTACAGAAGTTGTTGACGTTTGTGCGCGGTCTCTACGGAAACGTAAACTTGGGCCTTTTTCGAAACTGACGCACATTGTGTAAGTGGCGCACAAAATGGCCGGTCTCGTCGTCCGACTGTGTGCTTCATCGAACGCAAAATAGAATATTCTGAGTAGAATGTTCTTCGTCCGAGGAGACATCGAACGCGGCCTTAGTCTAACCTTTTTTAACCAAACCAAACCAGGCCATCCTAGCCTACCTTTATCAAATATAGCCTAACCTAGCCTAATGTTGATTACAAATCAATAAAAAGCTTATGCAACTTAGAAATTATCTAATTATTAACATAAGCAATGGCTTTATTAGCTTAGATAAGGTTGTAACTGATTAAGGTCAGGTAGGTTATGTTAGGCCAGGCCATGCAGGTTGGGTTACAATGACATTGCATATAAAACATTTTGAGCCTTGTGTAGAATATCCAAAGATGATTGTGATTGCTAACAGGAGGTGCACATTTATTTAAGCTCTACAGAAAAATAGTATGTTTGTCAAAAGTGTAGGTGCAGAGAATGTGTGTCACAAGAAATTGAGAGTGGAAAGTGGCTGGCGAGAGGGGAAAAAATAGAACGGATATTATTGAATCGTAGACTTTGATTTTGATATTAATTTGAGTAATTTGAGTTGCTAGACACAGTGACGTAGCACATTGAGCAAAAATGACATTAACGTAATTTACCAAACTGAAGTTGATTTGAAACCTTAATCTAAGGCACTAATAAGTGGAAAGACTCAACACCTTGAAACGAAAGCTAGGGTCAAGACAGATTTTCATATTTTACTAGGTTTTATAGCTCTGATCATAATTTACCATGAAATGAAATATTTGCATTGAATGCTACAAAGTACAAAACGCAGTGCAATACAATGATTTTTAGATTTAATACCCTGAATAGAATTAATCTCATCATATGATTCACTCCCAAGCGCAAAACAAAATTAGGCAGGAGTTCCGAACCAAGCATGACCATGGCTCTGGATCTAAGATCTAAAAAATCATTTCAAGCCCACCTCAACCTTGTAAATTTAAATAAATACCAACACCATTGCAATTTGAATTGCAGGCTTACCAGTTATCCTTACCTGTGATCATAGTTTCGTCGGGTATTTCCTCAATAAAGCACTTTCGTTCTGTCTCAGCGATGTGAAAGTACAAGCCATTGACACAATGAATTACAAATAACAAAATAAAAGCACTCATTAGAGAGTTACAATTCATTTTATTGCACATTTCAGAGCGAATATAACATATGCTTTGGAAATCAATCACACAGAGATGGAAAGTTAGCGCATTAGTCGGCTGGTGCGCCATAAACGTCTACAATCAACGTGTCTCCAAACAGCTTCAAGAACATTAAAATTTATTGGTCTGCAGTAGTGATGTCAGTTACAGAAAATCGGAATACCCATGGAATACCAATACCAAACCAAATACCAAAATACCAACCAAAATCGTGGGGAAATACCGAAACCGAACCAACTTTGAAAGATGAGGGAAATACCAACTTTTTACCAGTTTCTTAGCCTCTTATACATTAGTAAGGGTTCATAATACCAACAAAATACCAAACACATTAGGATTGAAATACCAAATACCAAGTTGGTATCGGTTTGGTATCGGTATACCAAAAAGTTGGTATCGGTTTGGTATCGGTACACCAAAAAGTTGGTATCCGATTGACATCTCTAGTCTGCAGCCAGGCCCTTTTTGAATCAATGGAAAGTAATTCATCGAAAATCATGATCGATGAGATTCGGAAACATAAAAATGCAATGCCAAAAGCGTCATTGTCTAGCAATAAAACTGAGTGACCTCGTAATCGACCGACAGGGGGCAGTCGCGTTCTCAGCTCAACCGACCGTCGACGGGCCCTAACCTAACCTAATCCAACCCGTCGACGGCCCTTGGAGGCTGAGGGTGCCAGGGGCGCGGGAACTACTTTCCGGCTGGGGGGGCACACCATAATAGAGATCAACCTAGGGTACCCCCAAATCTAGTTTTCTCACCGGTTTTAGGCCACTTATTTTTCACCCCTCGGCTTTTTCAACAAAAAAGAAAACATTTGCAAAAAAAAGTGTGGTATTCCGTCTCAAAGCTGTGGGGGCACCGCCCCCACGGCCCCAGAGTTGGGGGGGCAAGCTGCCCCCACTGCCCCCCTGGCTCCCGCGCCTATGGAGGGTGCCAAGTCCCATGCAAAGGTGGACCGTGCCGATACCTGTAGGAGAAGGTAGTGGCGTAGCAAGGGTAGTTACGTGTCCTCATGGGTTCAGGGATATCGGCCGAGGCACCCTGACTTTCTCAATTCAAAGCTCTTTGAACTTTGAAGGACTTTAGGACGGGTCCGATGGGTCCGTCCTTCAGATTACAAAGAGTGACCCCACCCAGGGGCCCGGGAACGATTTTCAAGTTGGGGGGGCGAGCCTAAAATATCTGACATGATGCATATGAAACAGTGGCGTAGCTAGGGGTCTAAGGGGAGGCGTACCCCCCCCCCCCCGATTGGGTTCAAAGGGACCTTCGGGTCCGAGGGGCCCTGCGGCGCCATTTGACCGCTGAAGGTCAAACCGCTGACCGCCCCATGGGGCTCGTTAGAGCACCTCATGGGCCCTAAATACTAAATAGCCACACTAAGATCTCCATAAGGGCCCCACGCCGGCTTCTGAGCGCCTCTTGCGCCTTTTCAGGGCACCTCGGTGGTCTCCAAAGGCCCGTTACTGGCCTCTGAGAGTCCTTTACCGGCCTATGAGGGGCCAGTTCTAGGGGCATTTCCCGCCTGTGATGGTCCCACACTTATTTTTCTGAGGGCCCCATAACGGCAACTATGGGGCCCTCATCGGCGCCTATGAGGGCCCACACCGGTGTCTCTGAGGGTTTCACACCCCCCAACTCTGAGTGCCTACACCAGTGCCTATTAAAATTAAGCCCTGTATCGGCGGCTCTGAGGACCCAACCAACACCTGTGCATCTGAAGGCCACCCACTGGAGACTTTTGAGGGTCCCACACCGATGAGTCTGAGGGCCCCACCGGCGTCTGACAGTACCATGCCGGTCTCTAAGGACCCCACAGGACTTCTTCTGCCGGCCTAAGGACCCCTTGCCGGTCACTGAGACCCCCTGCCGGCTTGTAAAGAGTTCGCGTCAGCAGCTCTAAAGCCCCCACACCCGTCTGCAACGGCTCCACACCAGCGTTTATGAGGGCCCACAACAACGCCTGTAAGGACCCTCATCGGCGCCTCTGAGAGAATCACACTAGCACCTCTGAGCGCCCACACCGGCACCTGCATGACGGCCCCACACCGGTGCCTCTAAAGGCCCCTTACCGGCGGCTCTGAGGGCCCTACGCCGGTGATTCTGAGGGTGCTACCGATAACCGAAGGCACCACACACACAAGCCCTTAGTGTCGCTGAGCTTTAATCCCATACCGGCCCTCCGAGGGCGCCACGTCAGTGCGCTCATTTCCCCACACCCCTCCCTCACACCCCCGGAGCGGGTAAACTGCGTTATACCTAAAGCAACGATTTTACCACCGTTGTACGTTATGCATTTCTCAAAGTTGACTCAAAATGGTCCAGTATAAAACTGGCCTGCCAAGCTTATGGCCAAGGTCAGGCCCAAATCAAAGTGGGATGACAATAGCAGATGTTATCAAATCGATACTGTATCAGCAGAAACCATTTCAGATGGCAAGGAAAATGCCGTGTGTTGATGTTTAGATGTACTGGGTGGAAAGTAATTACGCGAACATACTTTTTCGTCTTATAGCAATGGAAAAAGCGGCGGTGACATAAAAATTACATCCTTTCATATATTCCTATTTATGTGCGATACACTGACAAAGGCGTTCAGGCATAATTGACATGAGCATGTCAAGCACTGTTGGCCAAAGCTTAGTCCACGCCTCCTGGAGCTGTCTGGTGAGGCAATCGATGTTGGTGGGTACTAGCAGCTCTTAGACGCTCTCCTGAAGAGTCGCCTGGATAGTTTTGATCAAATTGAGGTCTGGGCTATTCCCAGATTGACCATTATATGCCCAGAAGAAGAACAGGTTCTCAAAGCACCAGTCTTGCGTCTTTTTGGCCGTGAGAGGAAGGACTTTATCAATCATGAAGAAGAGTTTCTTTGCGTCGGGCACAAAAGTGCGCTCAATCATTTTGCCCCTTTTGGTGCATTGGTGGATTAGATAAAGAGACTCGTCTGGAAGGATGTTCCACTAGTTGTATACTTTATTTTTGGTTGCCTTTTTGATCACTACATGCAATTCTGACACCATCCGGGCGCTCATAACACGCTGATGTGTGTTCCTTTGCCGGATGTTTGAAGGTTGGGACGGGCGGGACGTCGGACGCATCAGCAGCCCCCAACGCGTACGCGTTGTTCTGCAGGTTTGACGGATGAAATAGCTTCGAAGATGTCTCACCCAACCACAAAGCCAGCTGCCTGTCCTCCTCTTTTCAGGTTTGCCGGTCTTTAGAAAACTTAAATTGACAATCCTGCTGTTAATTCATGAATTTTGGCCATCTCGATTGTTTGTACGGCTTGATTTTCGAATTTTCACGGATTTATGTATGAATCGTGATATCTTAGATCGGGTACCCGGCCATAGTAAACCATTTCGCCTGTTTTCGGATCGACTGTTGTCGTTTGGTCGCGGAAATGGTGACCACCCATTCGGCGCCTGAATTCGCCGAGGTTTTACTGCCGCCAACGGCTTTGCTTTTTAAGTCCTCTTAAGTTTTATTATGCTTCAACCAAACGTGTAATTGAGTAATGCTGGTGCCGAGACCGTTCCGAGTCCCTTCCGCACCAATCCAGCCAAAATAATCACAAACGCTTTCCCTGGCAACACCAAATTGCGATCTTTGCACATTGTGGTCTTGTGCAGCGTATGGCGTCTGCACCATTCAAAGTCGAGACGTGTTGTAGACCTTCCAAGTCATTTTTCAAAGTAAGGTCACTTTTGGTAGATGAGGCGACAACAAACACGACCAATCATGTTCCATGACAGCCCGCGCTCATACAAAATCTCCACTGACGGGCGAAATTGTAAGAAAATACATGTTCGCGTAATTACTTTCCACCCTGTATAAAGGAAACAAGAAGAAAAGAAATCCGGAAAAGGGAGGAAAGACCTTTTCTAGCTGCCTCAATGTTGAAGGGGCGCCGCCCCCTCGGCTCCAAAGTTGGGGGGGCAAGCGCCCCCGCTGCCCCCCTGTTCCCGGGTCTATGACCCCACCTCAGGTCAAGGTCAGGTCAAATGCACCCAGGTCACAAAGCTGGTCAAAATAGGTCATATTGCATATTATTCGATTTGGAAGGTCTCCCCGAGGCCATTGGCGGCTTTCCGACTCGTTACCTCAATTCGTTTGGGAGCTATTGACGAAAATATGTAGGTACTGTGACCTAAGTGAAGTCAGCACTGACGTCACGAAAGGTCAACGATGCAAAAGTGAAACATCGGATCTCGCATGCAAGGACTAAGGAGTGCCCATGAAATCATGATTTATATATTACTTGAGGTAGTTTCAGAAGAGGTAGGTAGGTGTACGTACTCTATGTCCGTGAAGTTAGCGTCAGCAACAGCAACGAATACAGCGTCGGATTCAGAATCGCTTAAAAAACTCATATTAGGTCAATTGGGGGACGGGGAACAAGAATATGACCTTTATTTGGCCCTAGCTCTTACCCCTTACCCCTTAATCGGCCCTTAAAGGAAGGGGTGCGTCAAAAGTGCCTCAAGGGTTCGTCTGATCGCCAAAATAAGGGTCGCAATCGAATCCTCGGGTCAATATCTAGCCGCAGCCTTGGGTTCCAGATGTGTGCAACTTACCCCTTACCCCTTAATCGGCCCTTAAAGGAAGGGGCGCGTCAAAAGTGCCTCAAGGGTTCGTCTGATAACCAAAATAAGGGTCGCAATCGATTCCTCGGGTCAATATCTAGCCGCAGCCTCGTGTTCCAGATGTGTGCAACTTACCCCTTACCCCTTAATCGGCCCTTAAAGGAAGGGGCGCGTCAAAAGTGCCTCAAGGGTTCGTCTGATCGCCAAAATAAGGGTCACAATCGATTCCTCGGGTCAATATCTAGCCGCAGTCTCGGGTTCTAGATGTGTGCAACTTACCCCTTACCCCTTAATCGGCCCTTAAAGGAAGGGGCGCGTCAAAAGTGCCTCAAGGGTTCGTCTGATCGCCAAAATAAGGGTCGCAATCGATTCCTCGGGTCAATATCTAGCCGCAGCCTCGGGTTCCAGATGTGTGCAACTTACCCCTTACCCCTTAATC